GTGACGTATAAAGAAAGGTATGGATAAAAAAAAATTCTCCTTGGATGGACGGTTTGTAGGGATCTGTGTCACTGTGACCAGAACACCTTACAAGAACAAGTTAGAGGAGGAAAAGTTGATTGGGGTCTCGGTCCATAGATGGCGGACCTCATTGCTTGGGACCCAAGGGGAGGCAGAACATCATGGTGGAAAGGTGTGGAAGAAAAGAGGTGCTCAGAGCTCACAGCAGGGTCAGGAAGCAGAGAGAGAGGGAGGGGGGGAAAGATGCACTCTTCCAGGACAGTCCCCAGAGGGCCACCTCCTCCCGTCATGCCCCACCAGCCCACAGTTACCACCAGGTCATTCAAACGAGGGTGGACAGACTAGTTCCAGCTCTCACAGTCTGATCACCTCACCTCTGAATACTTCTGCAGAAACACAGGAGCTTTGGGGAGGGACCTTACATCAAAACCTTAACACCCCTGGTTTTAATAGGTTGCCCCAGTGAATCTAAAATTGCCCAACCAGCAGCAGCCAGAGGTGGGGTACGTGTAGGAGCAACAGGACAGAGCTCAGGGCTCCCCCGACCTATGACCCTTGGGAGATCTTAACACAAGCAAGTTTTGGTCCTGGGCCCTGGATGGAGTCTTTTTAACCAGTTCCCAAATGAGACTGGTGCTGCTGGACCCACTTTTTGAGTAACCAGGATCTTGGTGACATATTAAAAAACCAGGTATGGGATCAGAACTTCCCCGATGGACAGTGTGTAAGAATTTCCCTGATGAAAAATCGGGGAGCTTTAAATAACATTGGAAAGAAGAATCTCCCAGGAGTTCAGTTCTATCCCTATTTAATAAGAGCTTCCATGAAAGGTCATGCGTCCCTGGTGCTCAATGACCCTGGAATTGGCAGAACGCAGACGGGACATTCTAGAACATTCTAGAAACTCCGTTTCTCACGGAAAGGGAAAGGAGCGCCCACGACAGCCAGCGTGATTTCTGTTCTTCTCCGTGTTGGCCTCAACAATGTCGAATGGTGAAAATCTATGCCATGACGTCATCTCCGAATTCATCGACAGAAACCAAGAGCCTACAGTGTGTTACACGCAGCCATTGCTGGAGAGTCGGAAAGACAGGGCCTTTCAAAACGGATTGACGGCTGCCCATGTCGGTGTTCTCTGAAGAGGTTCTGACACCGCACAGCTTTTGCAGCAGGACACGCAGCAGCATCCCTTACGATGGATTTCACGCCGTGACTGAGCACCCCACTGGTATCATAAAAGGCTGACTCATTTCCTTCCCTCCGCATCATGTTTTGCAATTGGAACTGGGATACCATATGCTGGTTTCTAGAATGCACGGTACGGCCAGGAGCTCAGGGTGACTCTGCCAGCTTTGAGGGTAATTCACAGCTTGCCATAGGAATGAGAGAATCGAGGCTGGGCGGTCTACTTGGAAGGCTTTTGCATAACTGGGGTCAGGGAAAGACTTACTGCCCCAAAGTGGTGGGTCCCCTGAGATGCTCCAGGCTTGAAGGTTCTCCTTGTTGCTTTGTTGAAAAATCTCCTTGCTCTTTGCCTGCCCCTGCTCAGAGTGTGACTCTGAGTGTTACACACGGTCCCTCATAGCGCCCATATTGAGAATATTTATTTCCCTATCTCTCACCATCATGACTGTCAGGGATGTCAGCACAGCCCCAGGAACCGGATTTCAGAGCTGCCAACTGCTGCCCGCGGAGACGAGCGTGTTTCAGGAGATGTCTGTGGGAATGTGGAATGAATTTCTCCCAGGGCAGGATGCTCAGGGGGCTCACTGTGCAACACCCACTCCTGGGTTTTAACTTTCTTGAAGTCATAAGTTCCAGAAAGGAGCGGGGCTTTGCAAACATACCTCCGAGATTAGTTATCAGGGTTGCCGCCACATTACAAGACATTTAACATTCTGGTAGAACGGAAGAAACTAGCAAAAGCTTCCATTTTTATTTTTGATCAGATTTCATATGCGGAAGAGACGCGTGAGTCTGAGGAAATTTCTCCTGAATCCAAATGTATGTCCATGACGAAGTGATTTCCTTATATAAAGGACAGATCTTCCATAATGCAAAACATACTCCACAAAGAAGAGTCTTAGCTTTTATTGAGCAATAACTACATGATGATTAGGGATCTGAGGATCCCTTTAATCTCTTCACCTACTAGGGCAAGGCATACAGATTTGAAGAAGTTTGCTTCCTTTCAAATAATTACCTGAAACAGAACTGGAACAAGAATACACACCTGTACTCCAAATTCAGTGCTTCTGAGGCTAACATAAAAAATAAATCAAGTCCAAAAGAGACACACACACAAAAAATATTCCCCAGCATGAATGACAGCAATCAGACTTGGATGCAGTGTTCATCTCCAAAAACCAAAAGAACCTAACAATTCCACGTTCTTGATCCAGATTCAGGGAGCCTTCCTGTTCCAAGTTGCATGCTTCACGTGCAAGCCTTTCCGAGATTTTGCTAATGGTTGTTTTGTGCTAGAAATGTTAGGTGGATGGATGGAAAGGAAGAGTTACAGCTTTTGAATATCCGACCAAAAGGGTGTTTTTCAAATTCTAAGCTTGCGAAATTGGTCCCATCAATCACACGGAAGGGCCAGATAGAAAATTAAGGCGATAATGGGGACAGCAGGTGTCACAGTAGATGTCAGCCTCAATCAGCAAGAGCGGAGTTGATGAAACCTGTCATCACACACCTCTGTGGGATCCTGATTGATATCCCTCCTTGTCAAACCTCCGCACCCCTGAACCCTCTCTGGGCAGTCACATCGGCCCCGAGGTCATCCCAGGTCCCGTGCAAGTTGCCTGGTGTCTCTCCGTGTTTGAGCTTCTTCATGAAACCTTGGTATGTCTTGGGACAGGAAAGCATCTGCAGGAAGTACTTGATTTTTCCGTCTCTGTTGCCTCCCGGGGAGTGGTCCATGGGAGGTGGGCAAGGTTCTCAGGCAAAGCAGACTCTTCAGAATCAAGGTAAATTGAAATGAAGAAAAACTTCTTCTGCCTTTGATCTTTGCTCTCTTTCTGATTCTTGCGGATGGAAACGCAGACCCTGTGCCTCAGCCAGAGCGCACACTAAGAGCCTCAGAGAAGGAACTCAGGAAGGGCTTGTGTCTTATAAGACACCCTCAAATGACCGTGTTAGCCACCACTGTGATGGAGCACGCCTACAGTTCCAGTGACTCTGGAGGCTGAGGCAGGAGGATCTCGAGATCAAAGCCAGCCTCAGCAATTCAGTGAGGTCCGAAGCAACGTAGTGAGATCCTGTCCCTAAATAAAATGTAAAAAGGGACTGGGGATGTGGCTCAGTGGCTAAGCTCCCCTGGGTTCGATGCCCAGTATCAAATATCAATCAACCAACCAAATAAGGATTGTAGAGTGCCGTATGAGGCCCTGGGTTCCACACCTGGGTACACACACACACACACACACACACACACACACACACCCGCGCCAGTGTTAGATCGTACACATGTGACAGTCTTACATATAAGAACAACAAAGTCCAATGCATTTAAGCCAAAGTGAGTTGGGTTTTCAGTTTTTTTATACTCAAAACACATCCCTAACTGATCTAGTGGCTGGGTCTCCACAAAGCCATCTTGGATTCTGTGACGAAGTGACTGTGGTTCTTGGTCTGACAGTGAGTCCTTGTGGTTAATCAGAAATAGACATTTGATTTTTCCCTCCTCTTGGGTTCTTAGCACAAATCTGCTAAACCCCTTGTACTTCCCTGAGGGATATCGATGAAAAAGAAGCACCTTTGGTTATTCCTAATAACCACGTCTGATCATATAACCAGAGAGGTGGAACTTCCCACGTGGCCACCCACGGCCCACCTCTGGGAGAGGAAGAGGGGCTGCCTATGGAGCTCGGGTATCATCCGCCAATGGTTCCATCCATTGTGCCTAAATAATGGAACCCACATCTGTGTCCGGTGCTCACGGCCTCTTGCCCTTCCTCTCTTTACCTGGCCATTCACATTTATCCATTTCAGTATTCCTTACCTAAATGGGTAAAGGGACACGGTTTGACTCAGTTTTTTCATCCCTATGTCTGACCAGAGCAATTTTCGAGGCGGAAAAGTTTATTTGGGGGCTCACGGTTTCAGAGGTCTCGGTCCATGAACAGCGGGCTCTATTCCTAGGGCCCGAGGGGAGGCAGAGCATCATGGCAGAAGAGAGTGGCCGAGGGAAGCAGCTCACATGGTGATCAGGAAGCAGAGAGAGACAGACTCCCCTCTCCAGATGTAAAACATACACCCCAAAGGCAGGACCCCAGGGACCCCCCTCCCCCAGCCACACCCCCCCTGCCTCCAGTCACCAGCCAGTGCACCCCACCAGGGGATCTCACAACCCAACCATTTCTCCTCCACACCTCCTTGCATTCTCTCACCCAGGAGCTTTGGGGGACACCTCGCCTCCAAACCACAACAGACATTGAATAAACTACCGTTCTCATACACCCTGAAACCCAAGGCAGCGGTAGCGGGCCGGAAGCTTGCCACGGTCACCTGGTGGGACCCAGTGTTGCAGGACCAAGCCTCCAATCTATGGGACCTGACACCAGCTCCACTCTGCGTAGTCAGCATGGCCACGGGGCACCCCATCCAGCAGAGAGGTCAAGTGAAACGGGCCTTTCTTTTTTCTTTTTTCTTTTTTTTTTTTTTTAAACCCAATCGGGTGCTAACAAGATCTGGACGCTTCAGCTCGGATTGTGACTCTGGCTGATTCAGGTGACTTTCCCCCCTGGGCCAGGCAAGCAGCCGTGGGCAGGAACCTTTGCACAATCGGATATTTTCCTATCCTGATTTTGGGAGGTGTACGCACGCCATGGCTCTTCCTCCACGGGAAGGGACTCTGGGGATCTCTCTAAAGGACACTGTCCCCTTGGCCGGTGCCGAGGGGAGGGGGAGAATATTCTGCAAGAAAAATAGCAGCCAGTGAGACGTGCACGTGTCGGCGGCGCACGGATGGGTACCTCCAGAGTGGGGTGGCGGGCCACACAGCAGCACCATGCCCTGACCGCGGCGGACGGACACCGTGCTCCTCGTCCTCGTCTTAAAGTTCTCAAGATCTGTGGGGAGAAATAAAGGGAAAGGCGTTTAAGATTTAAAGGGCCGGGATATCGTGGGAGAGGGTCGCTTTTTCCAAAAAAAAAAAGAGGGATGAGCGGAAAGTCACCCTTGGGAGCACCCGCAGCAGGCGATCCGCATGTGGCTTTGTCATACTGACGCTGTCCCTTGCTCCTTGGTTCTATAGTGAGATGGTCCACTAACGTGGCCACTTGCCACCCATTTAGAGTCAAAATGGCTAATGTTCACATGTCCGCTCCTGAGACATGACTAGCCACATTTGAAGTGCTCCACAGCCACACAGTGGCTACCACAGACGGAGCACACGTCCATCATTCCAGATGATTCAACTGGAACTGTCTGGTGCAGATGGAGGTGAAGAAATGGAGATTTGAAAATGTTGTGGCTTCTCCCTGACTTCTCTGTAATTAGACATCATTATCAGAATGAGAATGCATGATTTCTTTTCTTTTCTTTTTTTTTTTTTTTTGGTACCAGGGATTGAACACAGGGGCACTCAACCACTGAGCCACCTCCCCAGCCCCATTTTGTATTTTATTTAGACACAGGGTCTCACTGAGTTGCTCAGCACCTCGCTTTTGCTGAGGCTGGCTTTGAACTCAGGATCCTCCTGCCTCAGCCTCCTGAGCCACTGGGATGACAGGTGTGCAGCTGGTGCCGGGTGCAAATGCATGCTTTGTAACAATTCTGCTCACTTCAGGAGCCCTTCCATGGTATACAATTATACTCCTTTCCCTGTTTTCATATATGCCTAGAAGATGACACACACTGTCTTTATGATTACACACATACCTACAAATGTATATATAAGTACAAATAGATACACCATATATAGAGTTTTTGAAACATTTTTGTGTACTTTGTTAAATAATGGGAAGGCACACTTCTGGCTCTTTTTGGAATGAAGTTCTATTTCCTCAACGAGGTCAAGTCTGCTTAGAGACATAAGATGTGCATAAGATGTGAACCCAAAGATGACAGTTTGAGGCAATAAGTAAGCACTTGGTACGTGAGGTGGCTGGGGAAATGAAATGGCAACTTCACAGAAGAAGAAATACAACCGATCAACAAACGTGAGAAAAATGTTCAACATCTCTAGCCATTGGAGAGATGCAAATCAAAACTACTCTAAGATTTCATCTCACTCCAGTCTGAAAGGCAATTATTGAAAAGAGAAATGTAATAAGAAATGTTGGCAGGGATGTGGAGAAAAGGGCACACTCACACATTGTGCAGATTGGTGCGACCATTATGGAAAGCAATAAGGTGTTTCTCAGAAAACTTAGAACGGAACCACCATTTGACCCAGCGATCCCACTTGTAAGTTTATACCCAAAAGGACTTAAAATCAGCCTACTGCAGGAACACAGCCACGTCAATGTTTGTAGCAGCACAATTGGCAAGAGCCAAATTATGGAACTGGCCTAGGTGCCCTTCAACAGGTGAAGGGATAAAGAAAATGTGGCATATTACACAATGGAGTACTACTATGTCTTAAAGAAGGATGAAACAATGGCATTTGCTGGTCAATACATGGAGCCGGAAAATATCATGCTAAGTGAAATAAGTCAATCCCCCTAAAACCAAAGGCCGAATGTTTTCTCTGCTATGCGGATGCTAATTCACCATATTGGGGGCGGCCAGGGAAGAACAGAAGTGCTCTGGGTTAGACAGAGGAGAGTGAAGGGAGGGGAAGGGGTACGGGGGTAGGAAGGACAGTAGAATGAACTGGACATTATTACCCTAGGTGCATTATGATCACACGCCCGGTGTGATTCCACATTGTGTACAACCAGAGGAGTGAGAAGTCACACTCCATTTACGTACCATGTGTCAGAGTGCATTCTACTGTCTTGTGTCACTAATTGGAACAAATTAAAAAATCAGTTATCACTCAAGCTATATCTAATCAAGTGACACACACAGTTGTTCAAAAGATGTGTTTTCTCTTACCCCCCCCCAAATGGGAGGGTCTTCAGTGCCACTTCACTTTCTTGGTGTCTAAAACAAATTAATGTCCTGATTGTTCTGCCTCCCCGTCAGGCCCAGAAAAAAAATGGCGTCAAGTACCCAAACAAACCTTTCCTACTCTGAATGGATTTTCTCAGGTTGTCTGTCACAGTGTCGGAAAGCTGACTAACTGCATCCAGAGAAACCTAGATCGTCTCCCTGCCGTTACTACATCCACCTCTGGTTTCAGGGAGGACTCAGGGCACTGATATTAATAAAAGCATCATTGAACAGATCTGGTTTCATTTACCTTTTTACATCACACAATCGTGTGATAAAATAATAGTAGTGACTGTTATTCATGATGATTTCTTCCGTAGGGATTAGGAAAGTTGGAAGTTTAGCCGTGGTTGTTTTCGCCACTCAGAGGTTTACAAAAGTTCCATGAAGTTCCACCCGATTTCCAGCTCAGGGTGCAAACACTGTGCGGACACAGAATCTGGCCTGTCGCAACTCAAGAGTACAGTGGGCAGAACTGCCACCTGCCACCTGACCACGGGACCCAAGGGCCACCAGAGTCAAGGTCTGAGAAGAGTGTGAAGGACCAATAGATAACAGAGATCCAGTCTTGCCCAGGCAAAACCAACTGTGGTTTAAGAAACGGGAAAGAAAAGTTTTATATGCAATGATTTTTAATTGCCTTCCCTGAACTTAAAAGAACTGGATCCTACTTCTTCCTCTGGAGTTTATGAATTTCATTCAGCTCTACTACAAGATCTGGGTATTCAGAGTATATTGCAATCCTTTAGGATTTGAGAAAAATAGTTAGAAATGTCTCTTAGTCGTTAATTAAAGCCGTGTCCAGATGGTAAACCCTTCCTACCCATGCAGCGGACAAGAGAGGACGTCTGTGGGCGGATGGAGTTTGACAACCATCTCTGCCCCTTACTACTAGTGCTGACCTTGGGTCAGTCTCGGATTTATCATAAATAAACGGAGAATAAATGTGGGCTTCGTTTTAAGTGAAGAAGCACTGTGCCAAGATTTAATGAGATGTTTGAAAAGCTCACAGCCAAGCACAAGGACTTCAGGGTGAGAGGTGGGTACTTAATGTATGTTTTTTTTTTTTCTGTCCATGAGGGAATGCTGGGATTCTGTGGCAATCATACCCCAAACCAGTGCATTATAGAAAGGGCTCCAGCTAGATGTAGTGGCTCACGCCTGTCATCCCAGTGGCTCAGGAGGCTGAGGCAGGAGGATCGTGAGTTCAAAGCCAGCCTCAGCAGAAAGCGAGGCCCTAAGCAACTCAGTGAGACCCTGTCTCTAAATAAAATACAAAATAGGGCTGGGGAGGTGGCTCAGTGGTTGAGTGCCCCTGAGTTCAATCTCTTGTATCCTCCCTACCTCAATAAAAAGGCTCCAATTAGCAGTGGCACCCTAGAACGAGTGGTGGATGCAAATCAAAAGACACACTAGTTACACATGTGTTTAGGAAAAGACGGCAGGTCCCAAATTGGTGTCTTCATATATCATTTCATATATGATCTATTCAGATTCTGCTAGAGACATGATAATCTTGCGGGTTGAAGAACTGGGTGTGTGTGAATGAGCATTTTTAAAAAAATGCCTTTCTGCTTTGTAGCAAAGCTTTCACCAGCAACATTTATGATTTATCTTACGTATAAAATAATACACTCAAAGTCATTTTCTCTCCAAAGCTTTGGTACCAGGTCGTGATCATCCGCAGCAGCTTTCTGAGATAGCGAGGAGGCATTACGGAGAGTGTCCTGTGCCCAGGAGCATTGCTCAGAAACCCACCACAGCACCCACTGGCACAATGCATCGAGGTCACCCGTGGGCCACGTGCTTTTCCTGTATGCCTTGATTTAATCCCTTTATAGCTTCCATTCCCAGTTTACAGGTACCATGGCTGAGGCTCAGAGAGTTCCCTCCCGCGTGCTCCACACACTGGGAAGTGGTTGGAAAGATGCAGTCATGTTCTGGTCCATCCAAAGACACAACTCTGAAGCCACCAGCATCCAAGGGTTGCTCCCTGACTTGGTGAAGCTATTGACAAGAAGCCTCGAACCAGTTGTTAGTGGACGTCTTAGAGACAAATGGGAAGTTCACGTGGATGGATTTTACACTCGACGAGCTTGTAAGAAGAATCTACCTTTCCCCCGGACCACGGATGGGTTGGTACATTTGGTTCTAAATCTTCTCTTCTTCCTTTTGCATTTTCCTGATGGGTGAGCGCTCTCTGCAGGGATTGAAGCCCCGGGTACAGTTCAACAGGAAGAAAATAATGAGAAAAGACCCTATGAAGAGGTAGGATGGTCGCCTTCCCAGGAAGGAAGGGGAACAGTTCCCGTGCCCTGTTCTCCTTAGCTCACACAGTCGGTTACGGACACGTGAATACAACACCAGAGTGTGACAAAGGACATCCGTGGTTTTCTAAGACAGCTTACGTCTCCAGCTTTGTGCATACTTCACGGATATATAATGTATAGACTTAAAAAATAAAATAAAATAAATGGCTCTACTTGATGATGTCGATTGCATTCATTAGCCGGATGCATAACTTTTTTGACTTTTAAGAAGTAATAAGACTGAATAAAGCAAATTGATTTTTAAGGCCAACATGAAGAGATTAGTCGTTATGTACTTGGGCAGGAAAAGGTGAGACTATTTGCAGACTGGGACCTCCCAGAGGAGGGTATAAAAACTATAGTTTAAACATGCCCAGGAAAGGCTCAGGAGATAATAACACACATTGTAGTTTGGAAAAAAAAATAGAAAAATTAGGGAGAAAAGCAAAAATGAAAAAATGATACCATATATTTTTTTAATGCACGTTATTATTTAATGCAAACTAAAAAAAAAATCCAATTCCCCGCCCCCCCTTTTTTTTCCCTGACTTGGCTAGACCTAGATTCTGTGAATTCTGATAGGGTGGCCTCCGAGTAAGAAACTGCCAGCACCCGTTCCCTGTGGTACGGCTTCCTCCCGTTTCGAAAGAGGCCATCAATAA